TATAAAAATAAATCAATATGCACAAATATTTATGCAGTCTGGTATGTAGAACCGGCCTTGGCCACAATCAAATACCAGCTCCGGTCATTTATTAATCCCCATACCTGCATTCATACTCATGAAAGACCTTTAACTGAAAAGCTTATAAAAACAACCTTTGGACAACTAATGGGAAACTTTAACTGATTTATGAATCACCACAAAATAAAAGTCTTTTGTTTGCTGTTTATTCATTCTTATATGCGTGTTTATTCATTCTTATATGCGCGTTTATATGCGGTCAACCACCCATAAAATCTCTAATATAATTTAATATATACAATAAATACGCTTTTATATAGATATATTTAAAATATAAATTAGATTGTTTTCATTGTTATTTATTTAAGAAATGGTTGCTGAGCCAGCGCTGGATTTATGTAACTACGCATATTGTTGTAAAATGGAATTAAATTAAACTCAATAATATTTTTAAATTTCCTGATTACCCCATCCGTATTTCGAGGCCTTTCTCCCTGTTTGTAAGTATGTTTTAAAGAAGAAAAACATTCTTCTATTGGATTAAGCTGTGGCATATATACTGGCAGACTTAATAGCTATACCATGAGAGGCTAGTGTTTGCCTAACAGAAGACTCTGTGGAATTTACAATTGTCCATAACAAACACCGGCGCTTCCACATTTGCATTCCTAATTGCTGGTGCTGTTATTGTAGTAATGAAAGTACAAAATGAATCTGCATTCCAGCCTGCAGTTTTTGTTTCATAAGCAAGCACTCCCATTGTGGAAAGAACACAAATTAAACTAACATTCTTGCCACAATTTTCAGGTGACTGTAAAATTGCTGGCGTACTTCTTAGCAAATAATGATATGTGCTGTTAGTGTGCACATTAAATCCAGTTTCATCCAAATAAATAAGTTTTTGATCTGAAATTCCGTTTATTTCGCTTGCAAATGCATAGCGTGCAATAATAACTCGTGTTGAGTTTTGTTCTTCTGGCACATGCACAACATGTTTTCTTGATAAAACCGAGCGTTTGAGTTTTCTTGAAATAGTAGGCTGAGACATGTTGAAGCCTGCTGCATAAATTTTTTTTTTTATTGCTTCTTGCATGCAAAGATTGTTTTCTTGTACACATAATTCAATAATATTTTTTATTTGAGAGTTTATAGTCTTTTACCTCTTTTTTTTTATCAGAAAATGACATAAATGCAGTCATGTCGTTGAATTATCCTCTGTTTAACTTAACAACAAGATTTTGAACTGTGCGCTTCGATAAATTAAGAGAAATGTTTGTTGTAAATTGATTTCTTTCAATTAAATGCTTAAGCATTTAATTGAAAGAAATCAATTTACAACAAACATTACTCTTAATTTATCGAAGCGCACACTTCAAAATCTTTTTTTTTAATAATTAATTTGTTAACACAATGGATCATCTTATGTTTTATACTTTTATCTAAGGTTATTTTCGGATTTTTAAAATCTTTACCACTAATAAAGAAGTTAAATACTTTCTCACACAAAAACAACATCCCTTGACGGCAAAAACAAACCACCACGATCTTTCACATTATTTAATGAAGAATGAGATTTCGCATAGGAATGTTGGTATGATAAAATATCAGTTAATGATTGAGCAAAAACATTACATGAAGTAGTATTTATCAACTTTCTGACTATAAAACCAGAGATATATCCCAATATTGCTTCTTTGTAGCTAGACATTTGAAGTTCATCGCAGTACAAAAAAAAATTTCTTCAAAGTCAATATCCTCTTGGTCAAAATTATCAACAGAACACAACCTTTTTTTCCAACTAAGAGAAAAAATAGAGCCATTAGAATATGGCTTAAACATTAGGCAGTTAGCATGACTTGATCCAACTATGTAGTTTTGCAGAAGAATCCGTTTTAATGATGATTTTAACTGCACTACATCAGGATTGTTGTTGTAACCATTTATTCCACGAATGCAAGCAAATAGTAGTAATAGTAGTTCAAGATGACCTTGGGGATATTTGTAAGTTAGAACATACTTAAATGGTTTTTCATGAAGTGTTAACAGATCGAAGGATAATTTTAGAGTGTTTTTAGCATATACAATTAAACCTAAAACAAATGTCTTTCTTCGATGTAAAAGCAATGGAATGCCATTAATATCAGTCAACTTGCTCAGATAAGTAATCGTAGTGTTTAAAAATTTAGATATAAAGGTTTCTTAAAGTGTTTACCATTTGGATTTCTGGAATTGAGCATGCCAAATAATTTATCAATAACTTTTATAAAACAGATTGTACTACTTGCTCCTATGAAAGATGGATACTGCGAAACCATTAAAAATTCAATTGCATCAGCAATAGAGCTGCTAAGGTTTTGGCCAGCTTTTTTGACATTCATTTTGTGGCGATGAAATTCAATATGTTTTCTTGAAAGTTTGTTTGCAAATTTTAAACCTTCAAGCTCTTGTTACTCAAACAAAGCTTTAATATAACAACATTTAATATAGCAGCCCTCATCATCAATAAAAACACCCAAATCAATAGAGAATTTCTAGCTAATTTAAGCAATTGGCATGGGTCTAGGAAAATGTGGAGCAGTTGGTTGTTGTATGAAAAAGTACTAACTATATTGTCTATGACATTGCCAAACTTACATCCAAATGGGACAACGGAATTTAAATTTGTACTGTACCATCAAATGTAATACTTTTGATACAAAGTCCATATGTCAAAGCCACATCTAAAATATTTTTGATAAAACATGTTAAATCACTTGCTTTAACTTTATTTGATAAAACATAACCAATGGGTGTTTTGAAATGTCCTCGCAAACCAACTAACATGAAAATTAATGCCTCTGTAGCTGGAGTATCAGGTTCACATACAGAAATATCTTTACCAAAATCACAAAAACCAATATAGTGACCTGAACTTTTGTCATAAGTTATACTGTTGATTGCCATAGCATCAATAATAAGAGCATAATGCTTAAAATTAATACCTGTTTTCTGTTTATCACCAAGATATGAAAAAACATCAAGAAATAAACCGGGATCACAATTTACAGATGATGTCCAATGTGATATTGAACTGGCAGCAGGAAGACATAACACTTGGCCGAAGAAAGTTATACGCACATGGAGAATAAAAATGAAGAGTTAAAGCAAATTTTTTTACTTCATCGTTGTATCTGTGACCTTTTGGATAAACATTTTGATTGGAAAATTGGTGATTTCATATAAGAGTCCAGAAAACTTTTCGCTTAACACAGTTCCAGCATCAGTAGTCAAATAATTTTTAGATTTTAAAAGGGAAACCTTTGTAAAGAACAGATTTTTCTTTTTTTCTCAATTTTTGTTGTAAAAACTTTTTTTTTAAATTTTTCTTTTGCTGGTGATAAAGATTTTATAGATTGTGTTGGAGATTGACTAGTGTGGTCATTTTTATCAATAGTGTTTTCTGGCTGATCATTGTGTGTTGAATTAATTTCTTTGCTGGGTTTGTCTATAGCAGGGCAAACATCAAACTTTGTTTTTTTCGATAAAGGATCAAATTTAGATAATGAATTTACTGATGTTCGTATTGATGGGAGTTTCCTTTTTGTCTTTTGAATATTTGTAGAAAATACAAAAATTGATGGCACAGCATTACATTTTAAAATAGGCTTATGATAATGATCAAGAATTGAATTTTTTTTTTGTCTGGGATTCAGTAATTGTAGTCTGATTCTAAAAAATGGTCGCTGCAGATACAGGTGTGTTTAGATGGAAGAAAATTTTCACGTTTCAAAGCAATAATCCATCTTTTACATAATTCAGAATTTTGAAGAGGAAATTTATGAAAGGATTTCGTGCCACCTTATATACATCTATTAGAACATCCATATGCAGCACAAGAATTTACCATTTTGTGATGAAAATAGTTGAATTAAATAAATACTTCAGCAAGGCAAAAGAAATAATGTCGCTAATTTACTCTCTATATTATATATGATACTTACTGTTTTCTGCCCGATATAATAATGGCTGATTAAAATAGTAAACAAATAAATCGGCTTCACTTTTATTTTATAAAAATCCGGAAGTTAGACATCTAGTTATTTATTTACGTCATTGATTATGTAAAACTGAACTGTTTAAAAAACTCTGCGGTGAGAGAAATTATCTATTATTGAAACCAGATGTTTTTAACGGAAAAAACTTGCAGATTTGAGAGCCTAAAATTAGGCTCTCAACCGGAAGTATAATGTCTCAACGCTTGGGGATCCCTTTAAACCTTACATGATTCCATAAAAATTTGAAATAACATGAAAATATAACTTAATTATATATCATAATTTGGCATTTTTATTGGCATTTTACAATCAAATTATTTTGGCATTTTACAACCAAAACTTTTGGCATTTAACATGTAGAAAGTTCTGACAACCCTGTAGTGAAGATCAAACCTGTAAATTTATGCTAAAATAGCACTCTACCACTGCTTCATTTAAAAAATACCTGGCTTAAGAATGGCAATCCGACTTAAACAAAAAAATTACAACTTCAAATAAAAGATTTAAAAACAGCTATTACAAAAAGTTTTTTTTTCTCAAATGTTTTGGAAATCTATCTTTATCTGACTCAAGCAATTTATAGCTTTTTAAAGAGTTCCTCTTTAACTCTCATATTTACTCTCTAGTAACTTAGTAACATAAATAGTAATTGCATGAATCCTTGCTTGAAGTAAATTTCTAGTAACTTAACCCTGACATTAAAAGTCATTGCTTGAATCATTGTTTGAAGTAAATTTGTTTGAAATAATAATGACAAAAATATTAAAGTCTAGATAGAATGAAAACTACATTAAAACACCAGATACTTGAACAACTGAGTTTTTCAGCCAGAACAACAAGATGTTTTTACAGATGACTTTTATATATTTTAAAATATTATCAAACTTTCCACACCAAAATTTAAATATAACATTCATAATATATTTTCAAAATTTTCCAACTTACCTCTAATTTTTTAGCTCTATTAGGGTCTAATGGTTGCATGGCTAATTGAAAATTATTCTGTTCAGCTAGAGCGCGCAGATCAAAATAAAACTTTGCATATATACTTGACGGTACATTTATGTTATATTGAAGCATTTCTAAAAACACACGTTCCAATTCGTTCCTAAAAATAAAATGCATATAAAACAGTTAATATAAATTTGATACAACAATCAAACAATCAATGTTCTATCATGAAACTTTTCCACTACAATTTAGTTTAACAAAAAAAATTTGTTATAATTAAAAATAAATTATATTAGTACAAATAAGTAGCTTTATGAATTTTTTAAACTTTTTTATTTTGGCATTTTATATTTATATATATATATATATATATATATATATATATATATATATATATATATATATATATATATATATATATATATATATATATATATATTAGTTTAAACTAATAAAATTTAAATTAAAGTAAAAATTTTAAACTGTATGTTGCTAGTGGCATGTGGTTATAAGTGGCGTGTGGTTAAAAGGGGTGAGAAACTCTGTATAACTAGAAACATGATAATTAGAAACATTTAGATAAATTCTGTAGTACTATAAACATATTAGATTTAACTTTTTGCAATTTCTACAATACAAATACTTTGTGTTACGAATTTCCTCATTTCACAGGTTTAAATTATTAAAGGTTAAAATTAAATTCAGAGCTGAAGGCATTGTTTAACTTGCAAACTAGGTATAAAAGAATGGAAACTTGGTAAAAAAGATTTTTAATTAGTAATTGTAACTTTTGTAATTAAGTAAACTTGATCTAAAATGGTTTATTTCTTATCAATTATTTTTTGATCAACCATATATTTATCAACATTCAGCACTGGCATACTTAAAGCCAACATAATATCAAGTTGGTTTTTCCCTGTAACCATTTTATAAAAAATGGACGGTTTTTCCATGCAGCCATTTTACTAAGTATGGTAGGTATGCCAAAATAATCTTTAAAAATTTAAAAAACCAAAATGAACTTATAATACAATATTAATATGATTTAATTTCTAAATTAAAAAAACAATACAATTCATCTTTTAAGTAATTTATGATACGCAATAATATTTGTCACACAAGAAAACATTTTTTTAAAAGTAAACAAAAATAACTTTAAAACATTAAGTATAATAAGAATAATAGGGTAAAATAATGTTAGGCAAAATATGCAAATGTATATTTTATATTTTATTTGCTTTATATTCAGCTTCTAGGTATTCATAAAGCCTAAATTAATGTTGACTATTTATGTGTTTTAAATTTATGTAAATTTAAATGTACAGCATAACAACTTAAAATACTGTTTTTACTTTTTGCTTTAGTATGATAATATGTTTAGTTTTTGATATTATTTAGCAACACTTGGAATTAGGGTAGGCATTCAGCAATGCCAACCTTACTGCCGACCTTAAAGTGTTTGAGGTCAACAAAAGTTTGCTGTCCTCGTTTCTATGTTTTATGATAACCCCTTTGTATCAAATTTTTTTGTTGTTGACCTCTAAAAGTTTGAGGTCAGCAATTTATTGCCAACTTCATTTTTCCCAATTCCGAGGGTTATTTTGTGTATAATTCAATTTTGTGTTAAAATTTAAATTTTGCAAATATGATAATAATCAATATTAATTTTCATATTAATTTCAGATTTTTTTATCTTTCAGATTTATAATACATACAAAAACGAAATTTGGTATTATTAGTTGCAAAAAATAAACAGAAAACTTGTAAACACTTATTTGAACACCTAAAAACTTAAAAAATACTAAACAATTATCATAACTAAACTTATAGAAGTCTTAAAAACAACTAGAACTGTGTTAGTAGCAGTGAGACAAAATTAGTTACCTATTTTTTTTAAACGATTACCTAAAAGGTACAATTACCGGAAATTTTTTGTGAAAAACTTATTAAAAAAAACATTAAACTTTAATTCTTATACATGATAAAACCACAGAAATATTAAATAAAAATTAATAAATTAAAACATATTACTGACAATTTAGTCCTCTGGAAGTATTTAAATCTAATTAAAAAAAATTAGCTAAAATTAAAAAAAAAGCTAAACCCGAACATAACAGCTCTTCAATGTAGTAGATTTTTTTTACGGCTGATGGCTTGAGATGAACTTAAGAGAATGAAGAGATCTTAAGCTGCAATTTGGGTAACATATGTTAATCTTCTTATGCTCTTATAAATAAGGTAAAAATAAACATGACATGACATTAGCATGACATTAGGTATGGACCTGACATAACAAAGCATGACATTAATATAGACCTTTTCATTGTTTTATTTTCAAAAAAGGCAGGTTGATAGGATGAAAGAATTCTCTAAACCTTATTGAAACAGTGAATTGTGGTGGGTTTCATAAAAATGTCTTAACAATGATCACACTTATTTGCTCTGATAAATAATAATAACAATTACATAGCTTGTCAGGTTACAACAAGAACATAGATAAAACAAGATACATACAACAACAAAGATTACTTGCCATTAGAAGGTTTTAGGAGAGAAACTCTCTATGCATTAGTTCAAACTAATGCATAGAGAGTTTCTCTCCTAAAACCTTCTTTATACTCATATGCTTAAAGTTGCATTAGAGCAGTTAAATAAGTTAAAAGTAGCCTTGTCAGTCTTTGCTTAAGATAAAATAGGTTTTATCCTAACCACAGTTTTTTTTTATTTATTATAGTATGTTTATTTAACAAATTGTTACTTGTTTTTGTGTACTGAAGCCCCCGGCAGCAGGCTATTTCAGTGTGATGTCAGAGATGATCTAAATACGCATTCATAGTATTTATTTTTTAGGAATAAAAAAGAAAAAATCTATATAAATTTCTAGGAATCCTGAGGGGAGAAGGTTGTTTTTACTTTTATTATTTCAATATATACTATTAATATATAAAATGCATAGTAATTATTGTTTAAAACTTTTTAAAATTAAACTTGAATTTAAAAACTTTTTTTTGTAAAACCATGAAAATTGCTATTTTAAATTAAATTTTAAATCCTCTTTTCCTGTAGTTAAACATTAAAATTTGAAAAAATATTACCTGAATTTATAAGTATAATTATTTAAATCAGTCTATAAATACATAAATAAATGAATAAATAAAAATATAATAAATCAATACATATATATATATATAAATATACATATATATATATATAAATATACATATATAATATATATATATATATATATATATATATATATATATATATATATATTGTAACTAAAATGAAAAACATCAAGTCATTTTTATATATAAAAAAAATTAATTGCACAATAAGCTGCAAAGCTTTTTAAAAGTCGTGGTTGTTGAAAAAAAAAAATTAAAAAAAAGCGCTGATTTATTCGCATAAAATATAAAATTAAAATTAAAAAATCTAAATTATATTGATAAAATAATAAATTGTTTATCTGATAAAATATAAAATTATTACACTCTAAATTAAAACATAATAATTTTAATTTTATGAAATAAGTTAATAAAAAAAAAAAAAAAAAACAGCTATAATATAAGCTGTGTAAAGAAGCAGCTCTCATGGCTTGCCATGTTTGTTTTAGGAGAGTTTTTCTTCACTTTTGCACTCATTTACTCGTGGCAAGGCTATATATATATATATATATATATATATATATATATATATATATATATATATATATATATATATATATATATATATATATATATATATATATATATATATATATATATATACATATATACAAAGCAATGAGTTCTGGTTTTTCTTTATGATATTTTACATCTTTAATTAGACAATAAAACAATTTGAAAACTCATTTTATAACAGCCTTTATTCAGAAACTCAGACTTGAAATAAAGCTTTAAAAGTACAAAAGAATTCATAATATATCTTTCACATTTCACATAAAAAAATTAATGAAAAACAAAATATCTGATTACCTAGATAAAAGACCTTTCCAGAACTTTTTAAACAAAGTTTTTAGAACTTTTTAAACAAAGTTTAGACTATTCTAGAACTTTTTAATCTAAGTTTAAGTTTTTAGATAATTAGACTTTTGGTAAAAGATTACTACATCTGTGCAGCAACATCTATAGAATAGTCCAAGACCATCTCTGTTTTTTTTTTTTACTCTAACAACATCTGTCTAATATCATTTGGCAATTCAATGATCCCTAACAACATCTTTAGAAAGATGTAACTACATTTGGTAATTTTTCACCAAGTCCAATAACATCTGTATTATATTGTAGTAAATGTACATTTTACACAGATGTTATTAGACATAAATGAAATTTCAGATGTTGTTGGACAGATGTAGTTGTACATTATTATATGTACAGATGTGGTTGGACAGATGTTATTAGATATAGCAAAAACTGATTTTGTTACCCTGACCTTGACTTTTTCTACACAGTGGTTATTAAAAAAAAAATATTTTCATGCTTTGTTTGATTTATAAAAAGACAATACACATCTACAATACAATACACAATAAACTCTTTGAGCCAAAAAAATTTCCTTTTAGGGTTGGGTGTTGCTAACATCATTAAAAAGAGGACTCCGCATCATTTACATACTTCAAAGCAAATGGCTTTATCAACTTTAGTTGAAAATAAAGAACATGAAGCATTCCATTCATTTTTTTGGGAATACTGTATATATTGAAACAGGCTTTTTTGACTAGATGATTAAAATCTTTTTTGTACCATTTTTTCTGTCAAGTACAATGTGTTTGTCAAGTACAATGTTCTGTTAAATACAATGTATCTGTCAAGTACAATGTTTCTGTCAAGTACAACGTGTACAATTTGTTCAGAATGATCAATGTTTTGTAAAGCATCATGTAATATGTTTGTATGATGTGTCATATAGACATGCCATATGTGTCTAAATGTTGTGTCATATACAAGTGAATTAATACATTTAACTATGGTAACTAAAAAAATTGTTTTTTTAATACCAGTGATATCTTAATTTGAACAATAAATGGCTCTAAACTAGTACAGCTAAATACATCCAAATATCGCTAGATGTAGTTTCTTTTAATTTTGAAAGAAAAGAGGGTTAGAGGGGACTTTGCCCATATTGCAATACTATACAATATGGACTACTCCATTTATGGAATTATCAAAACTATAAAATATGAAATTTAATTGTTACATTTGAGAATAAAATTCATAATATCTTTTGTTTAGCTCAGTTTAACATCACAAGCTTTTTTTTTTTGCCTTCAAAACCTTTTTTAGCTATATTAATAGAAAAATATGCATAAAATGATTTGAACTTTTGCAGAATATAAATCCAGTGTCACACTACTTTAAATAAATATTTGCATGCTTATACATAACCACAATGTCTTTTGTGAGTTTAAGTTTCGAAAGCGTTCTCAATTATTTTTAGTTTTAATTTTATGTGCTGAAGCTGTAAAAATCTCAAAAAAACTTGTTCACTGGGAGGATATGTTCATGGAGAGGCTATTCTTGAGCTTTTTTCATATTTATAGAAGTTTGAAGTTTAGAATTTCGACCTTCTCTTTTATTTAGACCCCTACATTTATATTATATCTAAAATATTTCCAAACCTCTAACTGATGAGGACCCCGGTTTATTCAGCAGGTGAGAGTAATAAATGTACAAATATATAAGTATGTAATAGGTGTAGATAATATATGTAAAAATAAGTATATAATACATACACATTTCACAAAATTGTGTAAAATAATTGTCAATTTGATGTTCTAACTTTTAACATACTTACATATCTTCAACAGCTATGTCTCTCAATATCTGACAGTAATCAACATTCCAAACTATAAACAACAAACTTTGATTTAATTAAAATAAAAAAAAAGGCTAGCTGAAAAAAAAAAATCATTACTTTATACCTGCTTGATCATCCCAGACTTTTGAAGCCAGTAAAACAGCTCCTAGGACAATACGCTTCCAGTTAGATGGATGCAGATCAATTTCAGCATAAGTTATAAGTCTTTCTAAATAGATCTTAAAGAAGAAGATAAAAATAATACACACAGATATATATACAATATATATATATATATATATATATATATATATATATATATATATATATATATATATATATATATATATATATATATATATATATATACAAATATATTTTTATTTTATATGTATTTATATACAGGGCCGTCCCGGAGGTGGAGGGGGCATAGGGGTGTCTGGTCCCCTATAAATTTTATTAGTCTACAAATTAGACACTGGAGTCATTAAAATTGGATCTATAGTTCGCAGTCAGCAAATGTTGGTCAACAAGGACTTTTTTTTATATTTAGATAAGTTAGTTGGTAAAAACTAACATATCACCCCCCACCACCACCACCACCACCTTTTAAATCTCCTAGGGACAGTCCTGTAATGGAAAACTGATGTTCAATCAAGTAGATAATAGATATACAATGAAGTGGGTAATAGATGTTAAATGAAGAAATGACCAATTTAAGAGAAGCCTGACATTAGATGTTTCTCTAGCATTAAATCCTAACTGAAACCATTTGTGAAATAATCATGAAAAACATCTGCAAAATTTTCAACAAAAACATGCCTGTTAATAAATGAATGTAAAAGTATGTAATTTCAATAAGTATAGATAGTTATTCATAATTTTAACAGATTAAGATCAACAGTTTTTTTTTTTTGCAAGTTTGATAATAAACTTAATTGATGGGGTGAAGTTTGATAATAAACTTAATTGATGGGGTGAAGTTTGATAATAAAATTAATTGATGGGGTGAAGTGAAAGATTTAACTTGTTTTTAAGCAGAGAATTGCTTACTAGAAAATTTTTTATTTATTATAAAACCTTTACAAAAATAATATAATTTAATCAAAATAAGTCTCCAGTTTTTCAAATTATTTATTTTGTCATCTATATTAACTTGTTTTATTGAAACGTTTAAACTAACACATATTTGAACAGGTTTTGACTCCAAGTAAACTAAGACATTTTAGAATGTGAGAACGAAGTTCTCTAACATTTGTATAAAGCAGGGTTAAAAAAAAACATTTTTTTATTTAAAAATCTAAAAACATTTTTGGACTTTAGCAATTGAAAAAAAATTCTTCATTACAATTTAATAAAATCCTTTAATAAAGGCCTCCAGTTGTTAGCACTAATTGCTAACAGCCGGAGGCCTCTACAAATAAATAAATAAAAAGAATCACAATAAATTATATTTTACATCAGTTTAGCTTAAAATATAATTTTTTGTAATATAATAGATGCACATTAAAGTAGACAATAAATATACAATAAGATGGATAATAAACTATCAATGAAGTAGAATATATATATATATATATATATATATATATATATATATATATATATATATATATATATATATATATATATATATATATATATATATATATATATATATATATATGTATATAACTTACATAAGTTAAATAAAATAATTTGAAAATTAATCAACTATTATTATAAGTATTAAAAACTAGATTAAAACAAAAGAAATAAAAAAAAAACAAATTGAAAAGATAAATAACTGACACAATATATAAAGAAATAGGCTTGGCATGAAGCATTAATAGATGGAATAAAACATATAGGAAAATAGTACGAAAAAATGAACTGAATTTTTTTTTTCATTAATAAAGAAATTGTATTTTAAGACATTAAAACAAAAAATATTTTTACCAGAGTAATAATAGCACATTCTGCAGTTAATTGAGCAGCACTAAATAAAGTCTTTAAAAATCTGTAAACATGTTTATGCTCTGGATTAACTTTGTTGTAATTATTAGGAACAGGATCTTTTGATAATGGATGAAGTTTTTCATCAAATATATCCATTAAATGAGCATCTCCTTCTCGATTTTTTATATGATAATAAATTGCCAATGAAACACATTTAAGTGTTAGCCTTAAATTTGGCTGACTTGCAGTATTATCATCAATAAATATTGTTGAACAAGAGTTGGACTTTTTTATTGTAACAGAACTGTTACTTTTGCTTGGGGAATACATTGTATGACAGCGTGCTTTTCTATCATTGTTTCCTAAATGAATAATTTAAATTTTAGATAACTTAAAATGGTATAAAAATTATGCATAATTAACCAGTAAATAGTAAAATAATAATTAAATAGTAAATAGATAGTAGAATAATACTTCTCTCCTATATAGTACCACTATAGCATACTGATATATAGTGGTATTATATAGTGCTATATACTATATAGTATATATTTTTTTAAATAGGTATTAAAAAACCTACTAAGTATTTTATGATCTTTTTAACTATAATCTCTTTTATATTTTTAATTAGGTTAGACGAATTTGTCAAATTCCAAAACATGCAAAGATGTTTGTGTGTGTGTGTGTGTATGTGTCTATATATATATATATATATATATATATATATATATATATATATATATATATATATATATATATATATATATATATATATATATATATATATATATATATATATATATATATATATATATATATATGTATATATATATATATATATACATATATATATATATATATATATATATATATATATATATATATATATATATATATATATATATATATATATGTATATGTATATATATATATATATATATATTATTATTATTATTATTATTATTATTATTATTATTATTATTATTATTATTATTATTATTATAGGGCTATAAAGCTCCTATATCATTTTCTATTGTAAAACTACAATGTTTGATGCTATCGCTAAAATTTTTGTCAACAAAAATCCAAAAAAGAAACATATTATAAAAGCAGTTGAATAATGGCTAGGCTAAAAACGCTAAAAAAGGTTTGGCTAAAATATATATATATATATATATATATATATATATATATATATATATATATATATATATATATATATATACTCATTATTTTTTAGCCAACCTAATATAATATATTCTAAAATATTAATATAAGTATAAACATAGTTTAGTTTGCAACTTTATAAATAATTCAAATAATATAAAACTTTAAATTGAAAGAAAAGTTATTTTATCTTTGCTACAGATCTGGATTTTTTACTTTCATGATAAACATATTTAATAATTAACAATAATAATATCAAATAAGTTTATTGAACCTAGAACTTTCAAAAGATAAACAAACCTACCATTGCGTTTTCCAGAACGTATTGTTGATCGATTCAAAAATAAGGTTCCCTCTTTATTATCAGAAAGCTCTAAAATTTAATTGTTCAACATTAAAGTGTTTAACTTAAAAGTAACAACATTTTTAAAAAAAAAATTCTATAAATTTACCAATTTCTCTCTCACTTATATGTGGTAACTCAACAACTTCCACATTTTTTCCATGTAAAGGGTGCTGCTCAGCTGGAGTACCTGTTTTTTCGTTTAAATCAGTAGAAGTGTCTGTACAACAAATATTTCCCATGACTTATCTTTTAACTCTCTCATACATTTTGCAATTATTTATAATAGTTTCTAAACAAAAAACATTATAAGTATATTTTTTGCATACCAAATAAAAAAATAAAATGTAAGAAAGTATATACAACATACATGTTTAATGTATGTTTAAAGCTCAAATTGTCAAATCATAACTTCAGGCACATCCTTGAGATACCTAAACTGAAAATAAAAAATTTTTCACAATCTTATTTTAATTTTATATTAAATTTATACCAAGATTTTATTTACTTGTTTTTAAATTTTCAAACTACAACTATTTCAATAAATATTTATTTAAAAATAATGAATTTTAGTAATCATTTCTAGTAGATCAAAAATAATTTTTACTCTTTTATGGGTTTAATAATATGAAACTAATATTATGAAAATATAAAAATATGAAAAAATGTTGATAAGACATAGAACATGTTGATAAATCATAGAACTCTCGATTATGCGCTATATGACCTATAATTCTATGCTATAAGATTTGATTAACCTATTACCTATTTGATAAACGCTTTCAACAATTTTTTTTTTTTTTAATTTTATTTTTTCTTTACTTATTTTTTACGACTTTATTTATACGACTGTTATTCCATTTTGAATGTATTTAGTATTTGTGAACATATTATTTTTATGTTACCGAGTGCTTTGATATCTATATGACCGGGCAGTTTTGTTTGCCCGGAAAAATTCACATAAGAAAAATAATAAGGTATTATTTTGAAAAAAATGCATATTTATTAAGTGAATAGATTAAAGTTATTTTAAGATCAATGATCAATTTAATAAAACCACGAAAGCACTAAATTTATAAAATTGTTTTGTTTCAATAACTTTTTTGAAGCAGTTGATTTTTAAATAAGGCATAAAAACATATATACATATGTTAAACCCTCTCGCACACACACACACACATATATATATATATATATATATATATATATATATATATATATATATATATATATATATATATATATATATATATATATATATATATATATATATATATATATATATATATATATATATATATATATATATATATATATATATATATATATATATATATATATATATATATATATATATATATATATATATATATATATATATATATATATATTAAAATGAATGGAGTTATATATTTCATTAATAAAATTTCAATTATGAAGACTAGTCAGGTCATACTTGTTTCACTTTGCGTGCTTTCTTCGTTGCGAAACTAGAGATGACATTTTTGTACGATAAAGTCTTGGTAAGGTCGTTTTCAAATAAAATCACCATAAGGTTAATAAGGCGTTCTTCAGTCATTGTTGATCGCAATTTGGATTTAATGAGAGCAAGCTTACTGAAAGAGCGCTCTCCTTCAGCCACTGAAATCGGGGTTGTAATAAAAATGCAAAACAAAATGCAGATTGAAGGAAATATTTGCTGAAGACCTTTCTGGTAGACTTTTTTGAGCAACTTGACAGAAGAAAAAAACTCTATTTGTCCAAAAGTATTTGATCGCTTCAGAACATCTAGATGACGGATTTCTTTAATCAACTCCTCTTTTTTTAGATAATTTACGTAGAGATTTGCCAGGACTTTGCATTTTTCTTTCTGGCTAAGTTTTTCTTTATCGCTAGAAGAAGATGAGAACACCATATGAACGAAAACATATTCGTTGTCTTTTAAGTTGTATCTATTCTGTATCTTATCTGCTGGAGCAGCCTTTCAAGAGTAACATTTAATACTTTCACCTCAAAACCCTTTGATTCGTCTTTGTAGAAATGGGCTGTGTTTATCGACTCGCCGTGAAGTGTTTTCTTTTTCTATGTCTTTTTCTTAACAAAGTCATTTTGAAACTCAAACGAAACTAACGCAGATGCAACCAATTTCACTTCTTCGAGGATTTAGGGCTAAGAAGAACGTAGTCGGTCAAGATCATTGATTAGAGTCTTTAAAAATTTTCTCTCGTCATTTAAAGAAATACTTTCTGATAGAATAAGGAGGCAGACATCATTGACACATAGGAGAGCGTTGAACCAGAAAGACGTTAAGAAAATGAATTCAAATGACTGAATCCACGTTTTGAGTGCCTTAACTAAGTCAGTTGATGATCTTCTAAATCAAGTTCTTAAAAAGTTACAAGGACTGTATTTCTTTTGGTCATTTCGACAATGGCCGGAAAGCCTCTTTGCGCGCACTCCATCTTGTATGGGACGTCCAGTTGCCTCAATCAACATTGTTTTAAAACATGATGTTTAAAAACAAGCTTTTTTGTAATTCGAATTTTAACTACATTTAAATTAGAGCCATTGCAATCAGTCTTTTGACGCAGAAAAAATAGAAATCGTGAAATTTCCATTTAACTTTTGGGAAAATTAAAGGGAAAATTGTAGTTATAATTTTCCCTATAATTAAAAAAGTTGATAAATGTAAGAGGTAAGTTATTATGATTTTGGTTCCAAAAAAATAGGCCATTAAATAGCTGAAAAAGGACACACAATTTTAGGATTTTGGATAAAAAAAAGAAAAAGCTACAGTTTGAATTAGTAGGTTTGAAATAAATTAACTTTAGAGCTTTGTTTATAAGATGAGTTATTTTTTCAAGCTGCCCCAAACTTCAGAAGCATATTTGAGATAAGAGTGAAAAATGACAATACTAAGCAAAGTTTCATAATTACATAATGACGGTTTTTAGCCAACAAACCGTTCGATCTGCTTAATTTCAATGCTAAGTCTTGAAGATGCGATGCAAAGATAAATTAGAACCTTTTTTGATTCCAAGCTGTTTAATAGAGTTACCTGTATTTATTTTCTGCCCACATAACCTGAAATTTAATTGCTTGTTGATTTTTGTATGAACAGATTTAAATATAATATCTATTTTTTAGGAGTTATAGGATAATTTATTGGAACGAGCAATTGAACAATATTAGCTATATCGTGATTTATATTTTTGTTACTTTTTTAAAAGTGATTTGTTAATTAGGAGCAAGTTGGTGCTATCCGCAAAGTGATACGCAGTAGAAAATTTAAATGAAACATTTAAATCATTGATAAATTTAAGAAAAAGTAATGGTCCTATTGATGAGTGAATCTCAAAATGACTGATAAGTAAGAATAAAATTAATTGATATAATTTCTATTGTTTATTTTTAAAATGAATAATATTAACTTCTTAGTTTATATAAAAAATTTCATCATCACTCTATTGCAGCTGATGGAGTCGCATTAAGTAATAAAAAAGTTCTATTTGTTTTTTATAAGTCACTAAATCTTATAAAGTTAAAAAAAGTACTACTTGAATTTCATGATCATGCTATTACTGTCGCGTTACTGATCATTGAAACTTTACTCGCGTTTTAAAAGGAAACAAAAGTTGTTGCAATACAGCGTTGCAGAATATGTTTACATGAAGCATCTATTATGTAATCTGAGAAGCATACAGCATCCCACATTTTAAAAGAAACTTTAACTTTAACTTTTTAATGTTAGCATAGTCTCGCATAATCTCTGGTTTTACTTTTGGTGGTCAAGATAATATATTAATTTTAGTAGTCATTAAAATTATTAATAACTTTATATTAATATATAACTAACAACTTATTAACATTACCATCTCGTTGTTTTTTTGATGGTCAAGAACTGATCGGAATGGAAAGAACACTTATATTTTTAATATGAAAGTCATTCAAGATCATTAAAAGCTGAAAAAAAAAAAAAAACTGCTAAAAATTTTTATTTATGACTATTGAGCAGATTTTTTAAAAATCTGCTCAATAGTTAAAAATTTAAATCTTTATTAAAATATACTGAGGCGTTTAAAATGTATAGTTATTATATAAATGTATAGTTACAAACTTTCCAAAATCAGGGGTTTGTTAACTTTCCAAGCTAGAAATCTTTATAATTAGGGGTTTGTTAACTTGAATAGCTATAACTTTTAAAATTAATATTATAGCCATAATATTTTCTAATAAAGCTTTAATGAATTTTAAATTTTCTTTGATGAATTTTAAATTTTAGTTAAAATTTAAAATAAAAATTAAAAATTAAATTAAAACCTGTTGGCCTAAAAAATGGGCTGGGTTTTTTAAAGCTTTATTTGTTTCCAGGTTCCAATCACCGTAAATTTGTCAAAAAACATTATTTAACGTTACTATGAACATACAAGAGTTTGGTAAATATACATTAACAGCGTGTTACTTTTCTCAACCATTAAAAAAATACTTTACGTCACGTGTTCATTGCTGTTTTACATGTTATCATTGAAGAAGTCAAACAATTTAAAAACGTTTTAAAAAACTTATAGGTTTTCCAGAGACAATGAGAAAAAACACGTTGGATAGAATGTTTACCTAATGCGAGTTTTAAAACGTCTAGCAACACTTTATTATATGATCTGATTAACATCAAAACTTCAAAAAGGTTAAACTAAAATAACATTTTGCACAATTTTCCTCTCAGATGGATTTTCAGTTTATTCTAAAATTGCAAGAAACTCTACTACTTTTTATTTAATTTGGAAATTTTTACTCTTTGTGTCACTTTGTGTCACAGGAACTATTATTCTTTGTGTCACAGACTGTGACAAGGTGTATGTCAAAAAAAATGTTATTGTATCAGGAAGTTGCTGTTTTTGGAAAACCTTTGATATAAATTCTCTTTTGAAAAGTATTTTAGATGTTATGATAACTTGTAATACAAGTTATATGTTTGATGGTCCTAAATTTCTTTTGAAAATGTTGTGAAAACTTGTAAATAAATAAATTCCTAATTTTTATGAAATGAAATTCATTTAACTTTGGAACCAAGAAGAGAATCAAATAACAAAGCAAAGGTGATTAAAATATATGATAAAAATCTAACTCTAACATTCAATGAAAAATTTTGGTTAACTACAGATGGAACTCTTTTGTTGTTTGACTTTGGTCCACGTTATCAAAAACATACAAAATAATGGACTCAAAAATCAAATTTTTTTTTTTTTATAATGAAAATTTTTGGCATTAAACCATAAAAGTAACAATACTTTTATGGTTTAATGCATTATTTAATAGAAATTGAGTGTTATCATAACAATATACTTTCCTATATTAGTTTATAAAAAACCACTGAAAACTTTCTACACCAAAATCAAACAAAAAACTGTGTTGTTTTAAATAAAGAACGACCATATTAAGTTTGTCTTGTTTGGTTGACATTTATTCATTGACACTTTTGTTTTTATTATTTGCTGATTTGTTAATTGTATCGCTGTTAATTATAATATGCCGAAAGTTTGCTATTTTGGGATTTTAAAAGGATTCCATATTTATCTAAAACAATTTTTAATATATTTAAAATATTTTTATTTTTATTTAAAATATTTTTATTTAAAAGTTTAGTTACTTTAGTTCTATTTTTTATTTGATTTGAAACCTGTTTCTTTTTTTTTTTTCATTATTTGACAAAAAGTATTCAGTTTAACTAGTATTCGTTAAAAAGTATTCAGTTTAACTAGATGGTTTTAACATCAATTAACGTTCTTCCACTCTAAATGGACGGGAGAAGAAACCCGTGGTAGGGGACCTCATGTATTGCTATAAGCTACTGTACATCCAAGGCTGGCGCGAATGGTGTGTGATACCCTCTCCCTACCCCATATCAATGAATTTTATTTAATTATGTTTGCAAGTTTAGTTTTTTTAGTCATGCAAATTGGCGAATGTAAATCATATAGTACAGTCGGCAAACTTGGACTATTAGTACTGTCGGCAAATGTGAAAAAATATTCAGCCTTTTTGCTACAGTCAATAAAAATCCTAGATCCGCCCCTGATCTGTATAGCAAATCTCCTTGACCAATTTAAGAAAGTTATAAAATTATTTTGCTCAACGTTTGTGCACGAGTAATTCGGCTACAGCTGCTTTTTTAGCATTCTCATTAAGAAAACTGCTTTAAACATTTTTGAGTTAAATTCGTCACATGGAGCACAACAGTCCTTTGCTGGCTTTATTTAAATAATTCCAAAAAAAGTTACTGTTATTAGGATATTTCGTACATTTCGTACATTTCGTAGTTTTTGTTGAAAGGCATCAAGATTTTTATTATTTTCCCAAGATAGTGAGAATCATGTGTAGAAAAAGAACGTATGTGTTCATGGTTAATCAATTTTAATGTCATTAATTTTGGCTTTTTCAAAAAATCTGGTGTTTCAGTTCTCCCTTTTTTACAACTTATTGATTATAATTCTATCAGCCCTTGTAAATGTAAATCCTGTTTATTTTTCAAAGGAATATTGTTGAAGTAATACATATTTTTTCTTTTGCATCAGTTGAAAATTAATCCAAACAATTTGATTTGCAATAAAAAAGTGAGGTTACGAAACTTTTTCGAGAATAAACATAAATTTTATTTAAAAATTAAATAAAATACAACACTTACCTACTGATTGCAGTTACTTGTTTAAAAAGCAATTTTTTCAACATAATTTTTATGCTCCTTTTCTTACAATTTAGCTTTCTAATAACATTTCTTCTATACATGTAACTATTAATAACACCTTTTTATTTTTCTAAGGAGAACTACTTTGAATGTCTGTATTAGACATAATAAAATATAAGCAATTAGAACACACAAATTTTTATGATAAACCAGATAAATCAACAACTGTTTATAAGGTTTGATATTGACACTTCTTATCATGACATTAAAATGCTGCTTTTAGCAGTATTTTCATAAATCAATGGTTTTAACTATTTTTACTGTAAAAACAGGACGTGTCCCAGACAATCTCCTTTTTACAATACACTATATTTTCACTTTGCCGATTAATTCGTTTAAAATTTAGCAAGAGGTGTCTTTTTTGATATAAAAATACATTTATAGAAATACTTTATATTAAAATAAAAATCTCTATTTAAAAAAAAATGTGACTTGTCCCCTTTTTTAAGTTAGCGATTTAAATATTCTTAAACCGATATTGTGATTGCGCAAACCAGCAATCAATATAAATCTTAATTCTAACAACAAAAAATCCAAAAACATATCTACATTTTGCAATATTCTGCACAAGAAAAAAATACGGAAACCTAGACAGCAATAAAAAAACCCAGATGTGACAACACTGTATGATGCCTTATTTTTTTATTGTTAAAGACACTGTTTAGAATATTTTTATTTCGAGCGAACTTGTTCTTTTCAACACATTAAAAAATGTCCGCAATAGATCGTTACATCGTTACACAATTCTCAAAAGACATTTCGTTGTAAACGAAATATTAGCGTGTTTTTTTTTCCTAACTGGGCTAACGCAAAAATAATTTTTTAAAACAAAAATTATAATACTATTACAATTTTTATCGGATGATGTCAAAACGGTCTTATCACAGAGCATCTCATCCTAACCGATTTCGCAAAATTTGTCTAAAGATGGCTTTCAATCACCGATCTTATGCTTTCGAGGCTAGCCACTACCAATACCTAAAAAGATAAAAAAAAAAATCAAAATCTTTGTTAATATTATCAATCAAATTGTTTAACTTATCAATGATAAAACAAAATAAAACTCATTATTCATCAATCAACTTATTTAACCAAGTATGTATTTAATCAATATCAACACTTATCCTAACCGTAAACCAAAGCCTCGCTTCAGCAAATTTCACCAACAAATTAAACATTTCCACCAACAACTTCAAAATTTCACCAACAAATTGAACATTTCAACAACTTCAACATTTCCAGCAAATCATTTGAGTAAAAAATTGTTTTTTTCCTATTCAAGCTTTAAAGTAGACATTCTGTCTAATTTAAGCCTGTTGCAAAAACTCAAATATTTGATAACTGGCCGGGTCCTGGTAGAGGCAATGCTTCATTTTTATTCGGAATACTAAAGTTTTAAACTCAAATACAAAAACTGAGCAGATTTTACATTGTCAGTCGTTAAAATGTTTTTTGTTTATTGTAAAAAAAAAAAAAGAAAAAAAACAACAACAAGTCATCCAGCGCCCCTTCAAGCTTGGCACCCTGATCAATTTGTCCTCTTATCCTCTCCCTTTCAAAGGCCCTGAAAAAAAACTAAAGTTAAAATAAATAAACACAATTTAAAAGATATATATTGCTCTTACAAAAAATTAATCAACGATAAAATTTAATCAACAAAATTCAGTAATCTTACAAATTAAAAAAAATAAAAATTAAATTTATAATTTTTATTTTTTTAAAACTAAATAATTAAAAAAAAAAAAAGAAAAATTTAAAAAAGAAAAAGAAAAATGAGAAATAAAAGTTAGACATTCTAATAATAAAAAAAATAAACTCTCAAATAAAACAACAAAAAAAATAATAAAAGTAAAGAAAATACGAAAAAGTAAGCTTTATAAGTAAGAAAATTATAAACAAAGATTGGTCAAATAACAACAAACATATACCCCTGTTAACTCAAGTGACAAATAAAAGTGTAAAAAAATTAATTTATATTTTATTATATTTAGAATTATATTTATAATCAAAAATACAATTTAAAAATATAAACAATCCACTAAAATTTAAAAAAGTGTTTTTTTTTCCTTTCTTTCAATAAGATAAATTTTTCCTAGTAAAAAATATGTAGTTTTTTATTACTATTTTTCGTTTTTGAACAATAATATTTTATATAAACATATAAATAAATTTCCCTAACCTACATTGATGGTGGACATTTAGTTTTTCAAGCAAAAAATTGAAATGTTAAAACAAATATTGAATTGTTAAATCAAATATCGAAAAAAAATTTCTGTAGGCGATAAAAACCGCCTAAATAATTTTGTAGACTATAAGCAAAGTCTAATTTATAAAAAATGTGCAAAAACTGTTTTTTAGACAATAAGCAAAGTCTAATGAATAAAAAATGTACATAAATAGTTTTTTAGAAAATGACCAAAGTCTATAAAAAGTATAAAAAACTTGAAAAAATAAAGTCTTAAGAATTTTTTTCTGAGATTTTTTTTTTGAAGAAAATTTCATATGGTTCTGCAATTTCAAAATAAGCAACATTAATTCGAGTTAAAACAACAACAACGATTTCCAGCGATAGTTCATTTTAAACCAACTACACAAACGATTTCCAGCGATAATTCATGTTAAACCAACTACACAAACAATTTCCAACGAAAGTTTATGTTAAATCAGCTACACAAACGATTTCTTTTGAATCCCTTCATATAAAACCCCATCTGCATTTATGCGATCAAAACAAAAAAGCTGTTCAAATATATCAAGCTATTTATGGCCGCAAACTTTTGTAGCCAAGTATTAAAAAAAAAATGTTATCGAGTGGGATATTTCTTCTTTTTGTTGGAGTTGTGTCGTCATGGAATATCGCTATGGAAAGTAAAAACTGTTTTTTTTTTAATTTTAAAGTTTTATTCCTTAACTAGACATTCTTAATTTAAACTGTTAACATTAGATCCAAAACTATTTGGAGGAGATATGGTATTATCACCGGACCAAATTGTTGCTTTACGAAATAAAACTCTTGCTTATGGATCACACAAAAGTCGCCGGTGGCCGAACGGAAGAATTCCTTACGTTATTGACAGATCTTTAGGTTTTATCTTAGATTTTTAAAATAATTTTTGTGAAAAATTAGTTTACTAAAAGTTTGGAATTGAAAATAAAGCAAAGGGGGTGAGGGTAAGGGTAATTATTCCTGTCTCATCATTTTCTCAATTCATTATTCCTTCATTATTTTCTGAATTCCTTTGTTTCCAACCTGGACTTTAAATAATAAATTTTAATGTAATACAGTTTTTCAAAACTTTGAATTTAAAAAAATGATAATTTTAACAGGTACACAAGCTAGAAAAGCGATTGCAGATGCCATCAACGTATACCATAAAGTGACATGCCTTAAATTTATCCCGCGAACAAGCGAACGTGCATACATTAATTTCTTTTTTGGAGATGGGTATATATTTTTCTAACTAATTAGACGATAGAGAAGTAAACATTATTGATGGTAGAGAAGTAAACATTATTGACGAGACATTCAGATAAAAAATTAAAGATTTCAATTTTTTTTAAAATGACGGCTTCATAAAAAAAGTTGTTTTATTTGTATATTCTGTTTATTTTTTATTTTGAATTATATATTTTCTTATATAGATGCTTTTCTCCTGTTGGATATGAATCAAGCATCTGGTTAAATCAAAAAAATGATGTTTCAATAGGTAGTGGTTGCGAATCAGTAGGAACTGTCCTTCATGAAGTAGGACATAGTATTGGTGTGTAAATTTTTTATAAAATATTTTTTCATAATATTTCTAAATAAAAATATTAAAAAAAAAATTGAACATAATAATATCCGTATAATATTTATATACTAATTTATAGAAAAACATATTTCAAAGCATTAATACTTAAATAATCAAAAGATTCTTTTACAATACATTTTTATATTTTATATAAAAAACATTTTTGTTATAATTATTAAAGGTTTGTATCATGAACAAAATCGACCAGACAGAGATAGATATGTCACTATTATTAACAGCAACATAATGAAAGGTACGAAATAAATTGTATATATATATATATATATATATATATATATATATATATATATATATATATATATATATATATATATATATATATATATATATATATATATATTGATAGTTATCGATAGTTATCGATAGCCATCAATAAAAGTTATTGATAGATAAATAAAAAGTTTTCATTGGTTAATTGAAGTTACTAATGGATATATACCGCATAATACCTTAAGAGGGAATTAGCGATACAGAAAATTTATTAGGTTTTTGTCGTCTATTGATAAAATAAGTTGGTAATACCTTATATGTATAATATAAAGTTAATAATATGATATAAAGCTAAAAAGTAAAAACGAAAAAAAAAATATTGCCACAACAAAAATTGCTTATAAGAGTTGTTTCAAAAAATCAACTCTTTATATACAATATTTAAAACTTAAGTTTTATTGTTTGTAGATATGGATTATAATTTTCAACTTGAATATGATATCGACTCTCTTAAAACTCCCTACGACTTAAAATCGATCATGCATTACGGATCAAAAGCTTTTGCAGTTAATAGGAACTTGAGAACTATTGTAACAAAGGACCCGAAGTTGCAGTATCTGATTGATCACTATGATGACGTTAATAACTTCAGTGATTGGGATATCAAGCAAATTAATTTGATGTATCCCTTGTGTAGTTTGGGAAAATAATAAACATTTTTTTCCAATGTTCATATAAAGTAATGAAGAAAAAAAAAATATCTGAAACCTTTTTTTGTTGTTGTCATATTTCAAATATAAAAGTTTTTAACGTTTTTAAATTTTTTAAAAGACGAATAAAAAACAATATTATAGGAAGTAATCAATAACGCACACCAAAAATTACTACGAACATGGGTAATTAAGACGAATTGTTTAAAATACAGGAAAAAATTAGAAGGCCAGGATTTTTGCAATAAAATTATAATAGAGAGTTTAAAAACTTTCGTCACATGTATCATTAGTATCAGCTTAAAATTAGTATCAGCTTAAAGCTTAAAAATTAGTATCAGCATTAGTATCAGCTTAAAACTCATACTTATGTTTTGAATGATTTGCTTTAATATTTTTGAAGTTAACGTCTCTCTAACTCCCAATGTCATCTTTAAACTTTAACTTTGATGCAGATTTTCTAGTAAGATTGCTTTGATTGTTTATAGAGCAGATCTTGGAACTGTTTTTGAAATTGTTTTTGAAATTGTTTTTGGAAATACTTTTAACTTAAAAATAAGTCCTGAAAATTTAAGACTTAAAACGCATGTTGAAAGTTTTTCATGCTTAACGATTTTTAAATTTACCATTGTAGCAAACTTGCTAGCGTTTGGAACAACACCTCCTGGAGATAACGCGTGTATGCTTAATTTCTTTAGTATACAGTGCCGTGACTAGGGGGTTGGGGATCCCTCAAATCCTGTCATTAGGGCCCTAAAATCTTAAAAAATTTTCTATTAGTTGTTACAAAAAAAAACAACAAGCTTCTTTAATTTTGAAAAGGACCTCTAAAATTGAATATGGCCCTCCTAAATTTTGTAGCATCAAAACCCACCCTCCTTTGCAATTAAGGGGTGTTGCCATGGCTCTAATAATATACTTAAACAATATCTTTTAAGCTGAAATTTTCTTTTTATATATGTTATTTTTTTGGTTTTTCGTGGATTTTATTAAGAGTTAACTTATAGTGAAAAACTTAAAAAAATATATATATATATATATATTTAAACTATATTTTTATTGATAAACTTATAACATTTATTTTAGTGCTCTTAAGATGTGATTACGTCACTTGTGTTTAAAAAAACTTCTTAATACTTTGAACTGATTTAAATAAAAAATCAGTTGGAGGTATTAGGCTCTTAAAAAGCTATTAAATTACTTTTAGATTAAGAAAAGTAAGTTTACTTTAAACTTTAATGTGAATTATTCTTATAGTTATATATTCAATATAGTAGAGGTACGTTGATTTGGATAAAAATTGTAATAAATACTATACTTCTTATTATGATTAAAAGTTAAAAAAAAATCTAAAAGTTTACGCCATAAAGTCTCATCCGCGAACTAAAATCAATGGAGATATGGGAGCGAACTAAAATTAATGGAATATTGGAGCAAACTAATATGGTATGATTTTTGAAATTAAAAGATTTTTATCAGCTTTTAAGTCTGCATTGTGCGTTTGATAGTTGCTGACAATCATTCTACAAATGTATCAGGTTACGAGCACTTCATTAAATACAAATGTATCAGGTTATGAGCACTTCATTAAATACAAATGTATCAGGTTATGAGAACTTCATTAAATGTTTTGGAAAAAGTAAAACTAAAGCAAGCTTATTTACAAATAAAAACTTAATAATCTCTTATAAAATATTTACAAATAAAAACTTAATAATCTCTTATAAACATCTCTTATAAAGTACTTGAAATAATCTTCTCAAGCAAATTGTCTCGTTGCTTAGAATTGAGAAGATTATTTAAAATACTTTATTATACTTATTATCTACTCAAGACTTTACATAAGAATATAAACCCCCTCAATTTGAGTGGGTTACAGCTCATACACCAAAAAGTGCTGGATCGGTTCCTGTGATTATATCAGATATGCTGAAATGTGGACGAGAAACAATCATCAGAACTGTAGATTTTAGTACGGCTTTACAACCTTTTTCATTTTTTTGACCTTCAAATAAAAACTATAATATTTTATTAAAAAAGCAATTCATAACTATTTTGCTTGAACCTTTTTCTTTCTCCTTATCAACGTGACCCTTCCTGATACTGGTTTCCGTTTTCCTTTTATAAAATTTTTTTAAAACTTCATGACAAGATCTACAAATAATCGGAAATTCTTGTGAAACCTCTCAAACCATCATTGTTATTTATTTCAGATGAAGCAACACCCAGATTCAGTACCTTTTTAGTAGAAAAAATGGTTTTTAGACACATTATTCAGATTATCTGGTTAAAAGCTTCATTTTTACTTCATTTCTTAGCCATAATAATATTTTTTTTTAACAACTTCAGAATTTCTTCTTTCTGCTTAACAAAAATCAAAGCATACTACTTTGCTTTACAACTGTAGTTTAAAAGTTTACTTAATTATACAGATCCCAAAAAATAACTAAATATTTTAAATCTTGTAGTTAGGTTAATGTGTCTATTAAAAAAATTTGTTGCTATGCGCATCACTAAGTAATATTTTTTTACTCTTATAAACAAAAAGAATTTTTTACATTTTTTAAAAATTAAACCTATATCATGTTATATATGAATAAAAAGCCAGTTAAATTTTACACAAAGCTGGATGATAAACTAACAAAATTTTAAATTAATTTCCGCATAGTTATCATAATTTAAAGTTAACCAATCACCTTTCACTTTTCAAAACGTCATAAGCGTTCAAAGCATTGCAAATAATAAAATATTACAGTTAGGGATTGTCCATCAAGTACCTATACTCAGAAGGGAAGAGGGGGTCTGCAAATGGCGTAAACTGCAATTTCGTGACTCCACACAAGATACTCCAGATTCAAAAAACATTTAGATAGTTGTTCACATACTGAAAAACTCACATGAAGAAGTCCAGGCAAGAGAGATCCTTAACATTTTCCAATACTATGATTGTATAAGTTAGGTTTTCAATGTTAATTGAGATTAAAGCAGTTGCAATACAGTTAAATAACATGGAGCCAGTCTTATGGCAAGTGGGTCTGCCTTCCCCCAAAAAAACTAGCCATTAGGGCCCCAAACTTTTATTTTACAGCTGGGTACCTGAGATATTTTTACGTCGCTGTTCATAAGACTATAAACAATCAAATTAACGCATAAATTCAATTAAATATATTTTATAATTCTTAAATTGATAAAGAGTTTACTAGTGAAGAGTTTTTTTACTACTTTAAATGTATTACGCAGATAATACAAGTACGTCGCAAACCATCAAAAAAAGGGTTTGCGAGGTGTTTTCATGCTTGCAAACTCATTTATTGTGTCTTCATTACTTAATTTTCTTGTTCTCAGTTCTCAGTTGACAGCATTGTAAGGAAGACCAACGCTCATTGACCATTGTTGACCTATTTAAAGATACATAGAAATACAGCTATATGTATTTATGTATTATAAGATTCTTTATACTAACCAATGAAAACTTTTAAATAATTATAACTTGCTGAAGCTACGTTCTGCACTTGCAACAGTTACTAATAAAGTAAGAATGATTCGTAACGCAATAACTAGATTGGAATAAGTTTCTTTCAGCTCATCTTTGTAGATTTAGTTTAGGAATTCATGTGCAGATTTTAGGAGAGTATTTTTTTCCTCCTTTATAACTATGACAAATCGTTTTAACTCCATTTCCAAATCCTCAGAATCTATATCACCAAACTTCATTTGCAAACTTTTGCTATATACAGACAAGGAATTTTAATTACAGGCTTTGATAAGACTCTTAGATCGGTAAAGAATCTCATAAAACTTTTTGACAATGCTGATCTGTTCAAAACACTCTTTTACTGATGCAATTGACATATCACTTAGTGGAAAAAAGAAGTCTGCTTTATACTGATGTTCAAGTTTCCGAGAGTGATCAAATTAATTTTTCAAATTGATTTTTTTTTCGTTAACGCACTATCGGAAAAACCAATCCCCAATACTTCTGCGATTTCTGATGCCTTAATACGTGATCAGAAAATCCATTTCGTAATACTCATAAAGAAATGCATTTGTTGCCTTCATTTCACTAGCTAATATGTCGAGAGAGGTTGCAGAAGACTGAAGAAGCTTACTTGATTTGTTGATTTGAAATAAAATGCCATACCAAATAATGATTGATAATAAGAAAGACCATGTTCTAATATATTCTGTCAGCAATCGTACTTCTGTGGTTGTTGTTCCATCTCTCTTTTCTAATTTTTCATTTGCTCAACTAGGTTATTTAGTTATTAGTCGAGAAGAAAACATCGTAATAGCAGAGCTAACCGTATATTTTAAATTATAGCTAAGTGGCTTAACACAACTTCGCTATTATTTAAAAAACTATTTTAAATAACAACGAAGTGGTTTTACACAGTTTATTCTACTTTCCCATATGGTATCTGATTATGGTTTGTCAGAAATTGCCACGCACAATTTTAAAATTTCCCATCGAGGAGGAGACGATGAAAAAAGTGTATATAACCTTGAAAGAACACCAAAAAAAGAAATTGCACTGGTGGATAACAGTGCACCATCAACAATAACAAGATTGAGTGAGTGGTTTGCACAAGGAACACATAAGGCCTTAGGATTCATTTCCAGAAACCTAGCTTGAACACCTTTTACTTTTCCTTTCATATTAACTCCATTATTATAAGAGTGACCTCGACAGTTTGAAATATTTAGAATTTATTGCATGATTTAAAAATGTATGCAATGGCTCTTTTCCAGTGGTATCATTTACTGTGAGATATCCAAAGAAATTTTTGGTCGATAACTACTCCAGGTCAATACCTACTCCAGGACATATTACAAATTGCAGAATAATGCTCATTTGTTCTTTATGCGAAACGTCTGACGTACAATCTAAAATAATAGAATAGTATTTTGCTTATTTTACTCTAGAAATGTTTTTGGATTCAATCTCCTTGGCTAAAAGTCTAATCAACTCGTTCTGTGCGTCATTGCTCAAATAGTGCTCCTTGGTTTCTTTGTCCTGAATTCTTTGCATAAGCTAATTGAGAACGGTATTGTACTTAGCCA